GTCTATTTGTATTTGGCAAAATTAAAGAAACTAGGCTATCATCTGTCCTATATTTGTGAGTTTAAAGTTTTATATCTAATTTTATCTTTTATCATAGCCAAGGAAAATTATAATTATAACTATCTAGTCTTCAACTCCATCAAAGATCCCAGAAGCATATAATATTCCCTGAGTAACAGGAAGTGAATTGCAAGAAACTCCCATAATTTTAGAAATTACTGAGATATCTGGCTGCCTGGACAGTCACCTAAACTTTCTCAGCACCATTGGGGCATTGATCTTCTTCAGCCTACAGGCCTAGAGTCTCTGGCAGACTTTTTAGTGAAGCAGGGAATTCGAAGGATTATCTCGCCTATTGGCAAAGTTCACCAGTTGCTTCTCCCTGTGTCCTGCAGAATATCTGGCAGTCTCCTCTATGAGGCAGGAACCTAAAGAAGGAGCTCCCCCTTTTTAGGCAAACTTTAGTGGTCACTTTCCCATGGATCCTACATGTCCAGTCTATACCACATATTGTCAAGCAGTCCAGGCAAGAACAGTTAAAAGGCCAGTTTTGCCAAGAAGAAGATACACTCCATATGGAGTGTCTTTGATGCTTATCTTCCACTTTGAAGTAAGTGTGACATGTCTCATTGTCCAGAAAAGTCTAAGTTTTAAAACATTTTAAATGCCATATCTGTAATTCTTTGAAGTGTTTGAAGATTACCTACCTAATTGAAAAATACCTATGTATATCTAGAAAACTTAACATGACTACTTATTAATCTGTATTTCTCAACTATACACTACAATTTCAAATGAGCAGCACAAATATAGTACCCCAAACAGGAGTAGAAATACATACAATATAACAAAATTTTTCTTTAATTTGCACCAATAAACAAAACACCTTCAAATTTTCATCAATAAACCAAAATCCATAGCAATGTAAAACATTTAAAATAAGTTGTTGCTCTTTAAGTGCCCTGAATAACCTACCCTTTCATTCTATCATGTCTACACTATTCCCTTTTCTTCTTTAGAAAGAGATGGCTTTCATAATCAACCCCTTTTAAGTAAAAATAAACATTTATAAACAATATTTTAGGAATTTGGGCATAGCTTTTCATACTACTTTCTGCTGTTTGGGGGTGCTGGCAATCTTATGGGAATCCTGAGAAAATTAAGAATCATAATTAAATCTTGGCTGTAGCAGTCTGTGAGGCTATATCAACACATCAGAGGGTCTTGGTTGATCAAACCATATTAGCCTGGAAGCAGTCCATGGGTTCTCATCTTCTGTGGAAATAAAAGCAGAACATCTTTTCCAAAGCAATGTATCCTTAGACATAAATTTAAAGTCAAGATACCTTTAAAATATACATACTGGTTTAACTCAGCAGTCTTTACAATCAAATGTCTCTCTCCAATTAAAAATCCCAAAGACAATACAATCCAGGTTCTCTGTGTAAATTTCATCTTTTTTTGCATTTATTTTATTTTATTTTATTTTATTTTATTTTATTTTATTTTACAATACCATTCAATTCTTCATATCAACCACGGGTTCCCCTATTCTCCCCCTCCTACCCCCTCCCCTTACCCCCAGCCCACCCCCATTCCTACCTCCTCCAGGGCAAATCCTCCCCCGAGGACTGCGATCAACCTAATAGACTCAGTCCAGGCAGGTCCAGTCCCTTCCTCCCAGACTGAGCCATGTATCCCTGCATAAGTTCCAGGTTTCAAACAGCCAACTCATGCAATGAGCACAGGACTTGGTCCCACTGCCTAGTTGCCTCCCAAATTGATCAAGCCAATCAACTGTCTCACCTATTCAGAGGGCCTGATCCAGCTGGGGGCCCCTCAGCCTTTGGTCTATAGTTCATG